TCAACAAATGCCTGGGCTTTGTCTGCGGCTCCTGTATCCATTACTGCACCTATATTCACCTTTCCACCAAGAGTGTACATAGTCATACCGAATGAGCAACTTTTCCGTTGTGGGGACCATGCTGCTAATCTCTCCACGAGCTTCCCATTGAGATACATACGCTCTGAGGGGCCTGGCACATTGCTTAATACACAGGACGATTTGCTGGCTAGGTAGTCGAGAAGAGTTTGATTACAAATATAGGGGAACAAATTTGCTACCAGTGCGACGTTGGTGAAAAAGACTTTCGCGATGGGCTTTGTTTTTATACCCTCCATCACCGGCGCCATCTGCTTGCAAGCCACCAGCGGGTCAGAGTTGGTGACATCCATGTCGAACACGGGTGTAGCAAACTGATTCTCCATTTTTATAGCGTGTGGACTGCTCCGCATGTTGACCATCATGGCGGTTTTGATACACTCTACTTTATTGTCTGGCTCAATTCGCGCGAACAAGCGCTGGAGAGCACAGCTGATCACGCCCATGAAGACATCGTTTATAGACAAACCGAGCTTTCTTCGAACAGCGTTCAATCTGGATAATTCGATGGGAGTGTCCAGCATACCCACGACCTTTCTACCGCTTACATTCTGTGTTTTGAAGGGATTCACATCGTTCTTTGAAATGATCAACTTTCCCATGATTGGTACGGTGTACAAAGCTACAAACAGCCAAGTAAGCCATGCGGGTGTCTGGCGTGCCTTTGCAGGTGGCTTGGTTGGGGTGACCTGCTTTGGCTTTTCTACTTTAATACCCTTCACCTGCGATTCAGTCTCCAGCATGGTCATCATCATGTTATTGAATGCGACGCCATCACCCAAAATGTGATGTGCCATAAGAAGAACGCACGACATAGTGTCGCCGGAGCCATCATCGCACTTCTCATAATTTTCAAGTATCACCATCTTCCACAACGGGCGATCGATGGGAAGATCAGCAACAATTGATCGTCCAATCCATTCCTTCAATTCAGCACTATTTGTTGGTCTTTGCGAGGCGTCGAGTAGGACCCGATGCACATGATTTTCCTTCTTGAAATCTGTATCCTTCACCCAAAAAGGTAGGTTCTCAAATAGAGCTAGGCGGTCCGTAAATCGTCGGAACCAAGGGTCTTGAATCAGCTTCTCTGTCGCAACGTTAAGATCGTCTAGAGTCCCATTACGAACTAAAATTGCGGCACTGATCATGCACTTATTGTATTCCGTATCTAGCTTCCACATGTAGTCCCCGGGGGAACAGGGCTCAGTGAGTGGTCCATATTTCTCTTTCGCGTCGCCAATAATCCTTTCCGTTCTGCTACGTATATAATAGAATGTGATAGTAGCAATCACTATTAGAAGACCGACTGAAGTTGGAGCTAGATCGTACGACATCGTGTAGAAATAGACCTGTGTATGTGTGCACGAGTATGATACCGACCATGTACTTCACATGCTTTTATACCCGGTATCTGTCTTCGACAGGAACGCGCATATGTCAAGAGTGTGAATTGTATTGTACCTATTGACAATATCCGTGAAATGGGATACATACCTTTAGTTTTCATTGCTCCAGGCTTCAATTTTCTTTGTTCAACAGGAGGCCAACTTCCAAAGTTCCAAGAGCAGTGGTTATTTAAAAAAATATTAAAAAAATAGATCTATGTATTTACAGTACATTTCTTTTTGAGTACTTATTATTTATTACATGTCACACATACTGTCGAAATATTAAATAAAAAATGTCTTTTTTAAAACAATATATTAAACTAAAAATGCACACTGATGACATCAGTGACAGTCAATGCAGAAAAAGAAAACGGTATTTGTGTGTTTAGTTTTTAGAAGGCTATGCTGTTTTCCACAAAAATAGACTCTCTCTAGTAGAGAGGGTCATGACGTATATTGGTATATTTTGTCCTGTATGTTGTGACCTAAAATAGTGCACCTATTCTATTGCTTTTGGTCTCGATAATTGATATTATTTAGAATTTGTTGTCAAGACAAAAGTATTGCCTGACCTGGAATTTGATCCCACAGTGCCCCAGCCCCCAGGGGCTACAGGACACTGAAATGTAAGTAAATATACGTTTGATTTGAAACGTTTAAGGGATCATGTATTTGCGTTGCAACTTCATACTTGGCTCTCTCTCACAGCTTTATAGAGTAGTGTAAATATGTGCATTTTTTTCAAAAATACATATTTATGCGCATTGTGAGTGGCAGAGTTCAGAGTCACCTGAGACACGCCTTGTCACGAGTGCCGACCTGTCCCGCCGCAGAGTAAATATCGAGAGTATCTCAGTGTGTATTCACCCACAGGTGATTACAATAACATTGTTATAGTTTGATTTTGCTTTTATAAGTATAACGAAAGTCTGAAAATCAGAACGAAGCAATATATTTGAATACGCACTCTATATGCATGCACGTGAATGGTGCTTTTGAGCAAGTATAATACGCCCGCTGTACCACAATGATAGGTTCTGAACTAGTAATACTTGTATTTTTTTATATATGAGAACCCTCAGAAGCTTCAAACTGCTAATACGCGACATGGAAATCCAAGATTTGACAAGGTCGAAAAGTGCTCAATCCTGTTCATAAATCGATACATAACTGTATGAACCAGTAGAGCTATCAACTTGGCGCCTCTGCAAAATTATTTTGAAATGTTTCTAGAAAAAGTCTAGAAAAACAAATTAGGATTAGATCCAAAACCAGATATAGTGAACCAGGTTTGCTTCTTAAAAATTAGATCCCCTCAGTACACGGATGGTGTGTTAAACAAGCAGTGAAACTAATCAGTAAAACACTAAATATTTACAAATAATATTTTGAAGTTTGCCTATAATTTGGCAGACTTTTAAAAAAAAAATACTGTCCACACTCAACATTCCACCGACACAAGTTCCAGCGGACAGAACCCCCGCCGAAAAAGGATACTCGCCGGAAACTCAAACTGAAAACGCATAGATCTATTCCTTTAATCTTTTTAGGGTTTAGGATGTTG